ACGGGCTTCAACTTACCAAAACTTAGGTTTACCTAGGCGAGAGTATGGGAGGCAGTGGCGTTATCTGGGTTTTTGTGTCGTGGGGTCTAATTTTAGTATCTCACATTATACCTTCTTCCTGTTAATTGCCCACCGGTTTGAGTAGATTATTTTTGCGTGTAGTTTAGTTAGTATTTTTGTCAATTTTGACTTATATGTAATTTTCTACTTATAATCGCGTCCATGTTAGGTTTCTAACTGGAACCCATTAATAAAAATAAAAATAAAAATGAATGATAATCATTTCATTGGTACTTAATAATTACCTAAGACAAAATGATTAACCAGTTGCTGCGATTTTGTAATAATTGATATACATTCCGTCATTCCGGTTGTGCAAAATTTGTCATGTGCAATAATGCAATGCTTGTACTTGTGATTAATGCTTTTGCACATAATGTATTTTGCATAAATATTATTACCATATTTATTCATACTAATAAAGGTATTTAAAAGACGTTTAAAAAATTAAAAAAAGATATTTACTTTATCTTTTCCAATTTTGATATAGTAATGGACCAACGTGTTGGTAAAGGTAAAACATATAACATGAATAATAATATAAATTAGAATTATTCAAATTATTAAACCAAATTTGCAATATAACAAAACTAGTTTTCAGTAATATAGAAGAACTTGAAGAAAGTGGCACTGGAGAATTTGAGGGAAGTGACACTGAAGAATCTGAAAGTAGTATTGAGGAATTTGAAGGAAGAGACGCCAAGGAATCTAAAGGTATATCAAACAAGCTGAAGTATTAAGTTTTTATTTATAGACAATTCAAATACTATCTATAATTATACCTCATATAATATGAAATATAATTTAGGCTAACTATATTATATAAAAATTATATTAAATATTTATTAGCTTGTAAGTTATATAATGAATTACTCATTACCTTTATTGTATTCCATATAACTAAATAATTTATTTAATGATTAATAATACTGTAGTTAGTAAGTTATTAATTATTTAAATCTTTAGTCCTTTACTTTATTTTTTCTATATAACATTCAAATAACTAAATTCTTTGTTTAAATAACTATTAATAATTAATTATATTATTACAGATGGTAAGTTACAATGTATACTGTATATTATATTTATTTTGTTCATAATTCAACTAATTATATTCTTAATTTAAATAACTAGATTGTGAGTAATATATATAATCATTATATCATTATATCTAACTAATAATACTACAGGGTGTGAGTTATATCTATATTTATATTATTTATATACTAATTTCTTTATTTAAAAAAATTATTAAATAATATAGGGTGTAAGTTATTTATTTAATTCTATTATTGCTTATTGTTATAATATTTACATATAATTTAAACTAACTAATTTCTTTATTAAAAAATTATTAAATAGGGAGTAAGTTATTTATTTAATTC